CCTTCTATTGAAATTGAAAGTTTTACTGGGTATAGTAGTCTGGGCTGGAATCAGTCATCTCTTAATGTCTGCATAATGCTTGACCACAACCTTCTGGCTTTTATTGTCTCCAATGAGAAGTCAGGTGTAATTCTGATAGGTCTGCCTTTATATGTTACTTGGCCTTTTTCCTTTGCATCTCTTAATATTCTTTTTTTATTCTGTATGTTTAGTGTTTTGATTATTATGTGGTAAGGGGACTTTTTGTTGTTGTTGATCCTGTCTATTTGGTGTTCTGTAAGCTTCTTGTATCTTCATAAGCATATCTTTCTTTAGGTTGGAGAACTTTTCTTCTATGATTTTGTTAAATATATTTTCTGTGCTTTTGAGTTGAACTTCTCCTTCTTCTATACCTATTATTCTTAGGTTTGGTCTTTTTATGGTATCCCATATTTCCTGGATGATTTAGGTTAAGCTTTCATTAGATGTAATGTTTTCTTTAACTGATGAGTTTATTTCCTCTGTTGTATCTTCAGAACTTGAGATTCTTTCTTCCAAGTCTTGTATTCTGCAGTTTATGTTTGCATTTGTGGTCCCCAATCATTTTCTCATGGTTTCTGTTTCTATAATCCCCTTGGCTTGTGTTTTCTGTATTGTCTCTATTTCAGTTTTCAAGTCTTGAATAGTTTCTTTCATATGTTTTATTGCTTTTTCTTGGTTTTCTTTAAGGGATTTGTTGATGTCTTTCCATTTTTTGCTTGCATTTTCCTCCAATTCTTTGAGGGAATTTCTCATTTCCTCTTTTAGAGTCTCAAAATTCTCCTAAAGTTATTTTTTAGGTCATTTTCTTCTGATTGATCTATATTTGGTTGTTCAAGACTTGCTGTTGTAGGGTCTCTAGATTTTACTGGTTTTGTGTTGCTCTTTGTGGTGTTGCATGTGTTCTTACCTTATCTACCCATCTTTTCCTCTAATTGGTGTGGTTGGTGCTGTCTGTGACTCTGGTGATTAATCTTCTAGGTGCCAGTAGATCCAAGGCTCAGATGGTTGCTCCTTGTGGCACAGTCAGTGCCACAGTTCTAGTTACCTCTGTGTACCTGGAGGTGGCTTAGTGCTCCTGGAGTTTATTCTGCTCCTATGGAGTTTGCTGTCTCAGGCCTGCTCAGGTCTAGGTTGCCAGCTTAGAACTGTTTCTGTTAATGTCCTTGATCTGGATCCGCTCTGCTGAGGTCCCTAGCTTGGGTTTAGTCCTGCAAAGGTCTCTGGCTCTGATCTTCTTTCTTGGATGTCCCAGACTTGGTTACTCCCAGATCCGTAGAGAACCTGGCTCAGATCTACTCTCTCAGAAGTACCAGACTCATTCTGGTTTCTGGTTCCTGCCTACTCCCTTGGAGGCCCCAGACCAACACCCAGACCCACAGAGGTCCTGTCCTGGCTCAGGTCTACTCCCTGAAAGGTCACAGATTCACACCTAGACTCACATTGGTCTCCTGCTCTGACCCACTCACTCAAAAGTTTCTCCCCTGTACCTGCTCCTGTGGAGTTTACTGTCTCAGGTCTGCTCTGGCCCAGGTCGTTGGCTCAGTTCTTTCTCCGCAAATGTCCCTGGTCTTGATCCATTCCCACTCCCTTGGAACTTGTCATCGCAGGCCTGCTCTGGCCTAGAGCACTGGCTCAGTCCCGCTCCCATGGAGCTCACTTCCTCAGGTCTGCTCTGGCCTAGGTCACTGGCTTAGTCCTGCTCCTGTGGAGGTCATAGCCTCAGGCCTGCTCTCAACATCCAGATTTTTTTTTTTACATGAATTCAAGAATCAAACTTAGGTTCTCAGTCTTAGAAGGAAGTTCACCAACTAAGCTTTCACCCCACCCAAATGCAGCCTTTAAAGGCACCAACTAAGAAATGCTCCAATGTTGGCCAATTGCTCTGCATGAGAGATGCTCTAGTGTTGACCAGTGTGTTCTCCATGAGAGATGCTCCAATGTTGTCTAGTGTACTCTGCATGAGAGATGTTCTAGTGTTGGCCTTGTACTCTCCATGAGAGATGCTCCAATGTTGTCTAGTGTACTCTCCGTGAGAGATGTTCTAGGGTTGGCCAGTGTACTCTCCATAAGAGACATTCCAGTGTTGGCCTGTGCACCCTCCATGAGAAATGCTCCATGTTGACCAGTGCACTCTGCATGAGATATTTTCCAGTGTTTTCTAGTGCATTCTCCATGAGAAATGCTCCATGTTGACCAGTTCAGTCTCCATGAGAGATGTTCCTGTATTGTTCAATGCACTCTCTATAAGAGATGCTCCAGTGTTGGACAGTTGCTCTCCAGCCTTTATCCCTTTGTCTTTATGGTGCCAGTACTGAACATGGCAGAGGAACATTCACTTCACAAACCTGCCTAGCAGAAACATTACCCAAGGGGCCTGCTAAACATGTGTTCCAGGAGCTTAGCCCACCAATTAACTTGGGGTTGCCAACACAGAATCATGAATTTTTAACATGATTCTCATCAACTCTATGGTTGGAAACAGTATTTGACAGTACCTCTGCTGGCTCTTTCTAAGCACATCTCATTTTTATAGAGGTCCCCACCTCAGCTGCACAGGGAAGTTGCTTGGGAAGCTTCCTACACACCACAATATTCTATCCAACCCAGATAATTCAGGCAACAACTACAGGGTAGAGAGCAATGCATGCATGCATGTGAGTGTATGTGTATGTGTGTGTGTATGTGTGTGTGTGTATGTATAAGAGAGAGACTATGTGGTGTGTGTGCATGAGAGAGAGAGAATATGTGATGTGTGTGTGTGTGCATGGATGTGTATGAGAGAGAGAGAGAATATGTGGTGTGTGGCGTGTGTGTGTGTATGTGTGTGTGTATGTATAAGAGAAAGACTATGTGGTGTGTGTGCATGAGAGAGAGAGAATATGTGGTGTGTGTGTGTGTGTGCATGGGTGTGTATGAGAGAGAGAAGGAATATGTGGTGTGTGGCGTGTGTGTGTATATGTATAAGAAAGAGAATATGTGGTGTATGAACATGTGTGTGTATGCATGACAGAGAGAGAGAGAGAAAGGAAGAGAGAGAGAGAGAGAATGTGTGGGGTGTGTGTGTGTGTGTGTGTGTGTGTGTGTGTAGGTGCCTTGTGAATATACAAAGGCCAGAGAAGGATGTCAAGTGCCACACTGTCACACTCCACCTTATTCCCATGAACCCAGGGTCTTTCACTGAACCTGTAGCTAGGCTGGTAGTCAGCAAGCCCTAGGATCCTCCTGTCTCTATCCCTGGCAGTGCCTGGGTTCTGTGTGTATGTTGTCATACCCAGGTTCCCCCACAAGTGCTGAGATCCAGACTCAGGTCCTTATGTTCGTGCAGCAAACACTCCTACCCATGGAGTCATCTTCCCAGCCCCAGTCTGGGAACTTCCCCTCCTATCCCCACTACTGTTTCTATCTACAGCCTTGGACAGACACTGGAGAAAAGACATCAGCTTTACGTGGCACACCCGGCACAAGCCACAGTCCCTAAGTAGATTAAGTGTCAAAGGTGCTGATGTATTAGGGTCAGGGTAGAAAAATGTGTTCCCCTCCCCATGTATTTGAACATTTGGTTTCTCTCTAGTGGTTCACTGGGGGAAGTTGTACAGCCCTTAGGTTACATGGCCTAGCTAGACAAAGTAGGTCCCCGAAGAACAGCCTTGGGTAGTGAATTCTGTGAAGAACTCACTGTTTCTAGTTCCAGCCGGAGCTCTCTGCTTCCTGCCTGCCACCATGATGTGCCCATATCCAACTGTTGCTACCACAGTTGGAGTCTCTCTACCACGCCTTCCCCACAGTGGTCAACCATTTAACCTCTGAATCATGAGCCTAAGAAAGCCATTCCTCCATTAAGTTGCTTCTGTCCAGCATTTATAACAAGAATTATGAACTATTGCAGCCAACTTCTGGAATCCCAATCAAAACTATCATACTAAAGCTTCTGGAAGTCCTATAACAAAGAATGTTTATTAACTTTAAAATTGTATAAACCTATTCAAATCTGTGTTCCACATTTAGTTGCCTATGAAGAGAACTTGACTGGTTGCCCTGCTTGTTTGGTAGATGGAAGGTGGTTCTGTAAGTAGCTTGCCTGTGTAGCAAGAATGCACAAAAGAATGGCCTGCTTTGTTCTGGGAATGAAGAACAGCCTAGATGTCGCAATTCCTGAATTACAACGCTGCTTCTGTTTGGCTCTTCATTTCTGTTTCTATTTGCTCTTTAGTTTGACTTCATTCCTTTCTCTGGTCTGTATATGTGCATTGACTCTCCAGACTTGCAGTTTCTCCCCCGAGGAACCTGACTGAGACAAAACTCTTACTCGGTCTTCTACATTCACCCTCAGTTACAGCCTTGTGGAAGTTTCCTTGCAGAGAAGACCCAGTCCTGCACATGCACACTAATGCTCCTCTGGGTTTCATCAAGGCTGCATTCCCTCTCGTTTTATTTTTTAGAGATAGTCTGTCTTTCCCTGTCCAGTCCAGACTACATACAACTCACAATCCTTTACTTACTCCAGTGTATCAATGTCAAGCAAGAAAGGAATAGAAAAACAGGAAAGCAGAAGCCGTGTATGCCCTGGAGTAGACCTATGGTTAAATCTCCACTGCGGGAAAATTAATATTGGGAGGAGGGGTGACCACAATCCCTCCTGTGTACTAATTCCTAGACTGTCCAATTTCCTGAAGAGGCAAGCCATTAAAACACTTGAGGAGAACAAAGTGGAAACTAATGGACTCTTTGGAGTGGGAGGGGGGAGAATTTCAACTTATCTGGCATGTAATTTGTCTCTGGGATGCGAAGTTGGAGCATGGTTCTCCCAGTTCCCTGAAACAGGGTCTCTCCATAGCAGAATTTCTCACACTTCCCACTGGGTGAGCATTTACTGGGGGACTCCCAGGCACTACAGGAAGTGACCAGCACCCCATCACTAGATACCAAGAGCAAATTCCCCCACTGTCACCTAGCTGCAGCAGCCAGAAATATCTCCTCACCTTGCTACATGTCCCTTGGGGCGGGGGAATCACACTCGGTAAAGATATTGCTCTGGAGCAAAGTCCTGCATAAAAAGACATTATAAATTAGTAGGAGAGAATGGAAAATTAAATTATAGTCTTTCTTCAAGTTAATTTAGTCATATAATAAAAGAAGAGTAGTCAAGCACAAATAAATTTTGAAGAAAGAACCTAAGCTTTTTATTTCTTATAAAACGCGTGTTCTTTTCTAGGCATAATGGTACACACCTGTAATCACGGTGCTAGGAAGGCATAGGCAGTAGGATCTCAACTTTGTGGCTAGCCTGGGCTACATAATGAGACCCTTGTAGTTGGCATTTTCTTTGGGCTATCAACCAGGTCTCAAATAAAGATATAGAGACTTAATATTAATTATGAATGCTCGGCCTTGTCTTAAACTTGTTCCACTAGCTCTTTTACCTTACTTTAATCAGTTTCTATTTATCTACATTTTTGCCTTGGGGATTATTACCTTTCTTTCATTCTGTATATCCTATTTCTTGCTTCTTCTATGGCTGGCTGGCCCCTGACATCTCTCTGATGTCTCCTTTTCTTTCTTTCTCGACCCTAAATTCCTCCTCCTACTTACTCTCCCTGCTCGGAAGTCCCACCTGTACCTCCTTCCTTGCTATTGACCATTCAGCTTTTTATTAGACCTATCAGGTGCCTTAGGTAGGCAAGGTAAAATAGCAACATACCTTTACACAATTTTAAAAAATGCAATACATCTTTACACACTTAAGTAAATGCAACACATCTTTGCACAGTTAAACAAATATTCTACAACAGACCCTACCTTAAGAAAAAATGTTAATATTACTTTAAAAGGCTAACACTTTAAAAGGATCTTTTAGATAGTCCTCAGCTACCCAGAAAAAAAGAGAGGGCAGGATGTAGGCAGAAAGATAAATATGCAAGCTCAATCTAGATTTTTTTAAATTACCATTGAAGTTAAATTATGATTTTGCCATATAAAAGTTTAAAACTCAAAAATGTAAATGAAAAACAAAAAAGCGAAAATTAAAATATACCATATGAATTAACATTCAACATATGAGGAGTTTAGCAAATTGATTCTATAAAAATGTCAAACATTAAGACTGCAATACGTAAGTAACCAGAAATATACAGAAAACCCACAAAAGAGGACATTCAGCGCAAGAGTAGGAATGAGCATCTAAAATCTCCAGCCTCGCTAGAAAATAAATATTCTAATTAAATGCAGTTTTACCCATAAAATTATTATGTTTTGAATAAAAAAGATTCTGCACTGATGTGAATGAGAAGAAAAAGGCACTCAAGTATTACAGGCATTATTATAATTAACACAATTATAAGCCCTAAATATATTTACTTTGCATAATCTATCCTAAAAATTGATACTATTTTTTGCAAGAGCTCAAAATTGTATATTCTAGCATTAAGTAAAATAATGAAAAATCAAGTGTCACCTAAATACCCAATAAGTAAGCTGTTTTGCCGAAGTTACATGTTAGTGATGCAATGTAGTGTCATGAAGACATTTAAAAAATGCTTAAAATAACAAGTACAAGAATCATATTAAAATCATTGCTGCAACTATACACATAGGTAAAATAGTATATATAGATGATAGATCAATAGAAAGATTATTGATAGATTGATGATAGATGGGTAATATATAGATGATGATGAAGAAGATAGGTAGATGATGGATAGATTAGATAGATAGATAGATAGATAGATAGATAGATAGATAGATAGATAG